TGTGGAAAGGTAAATGTAGTTGCACACTACATCCCATATCCAATTATGTTTCTGTATCTAACCTTTCTGCTTCCCATCGTAAGTTTATTACCCTATTGTCCTTTGTATCCATACCTAAGGATGTTCAGGAGGCTCTTACCTCGCCAGGGTGGAAAAAAGCTATGGAAGAGGAACTCTTTGCTCTTCATCACAATCATACATGGGAACTCACCAATCTTCCCCCAGGTAAGCATGTTGTTGGTTGTAAATGGGTGTATGTTGTTAAGTATCTACCAGATGGGAGAGTTGAACGTCTGAAAGCCCGTTTAGTTGCAAAAGGGTACTCTCAACTTTATGGTGTAGACTATGTCGAAACCTTTTCTCCAGTTGCAAAGATTGGCTCAGTACGTGTGTTGATTTCCATAGTTGTCATGCATGATTGGCCTTTATTTCAGCTTGATATTAAAAATGCCTTTCTCCATGGTGATCTCCTTGGTATAGAAGTTGCTAGATCAAAGTAAGGTATAAACCTTTGTCACGGAAATATGTCCTTCACCTATTGGAAGAAGCAGGATTGACAGGTGCTAAACCAGCTGAAACTCCCATGGAATTGAATGTGAAGTTGGGAAGTGGCACAGGTGAATTGTTAGATAATCCTGGAAGGTATAGAAGGCTAGTGGGAAAACTGAATTGTCTAACTATCACTAGGCCTGATATCTCATTTGTTGTCGGTGTGGTAAGCCAATTTATGCAAAGTCCTCGGGTACCTCACTGGGATGCAGTTCTTAGGATTGTGCGGTATTTGAAAGGGGCTCCAAGTCATGGATTATTGTACAAGCCAAGAGGTGATCTTGAAATAGTTGGATACACTGATGCTGACTGGACTGGCTCTGTATCAGACAGAAGATCCACTACAAGTTATTGCACCTTTCTTGGAGGAAACCTTGTGATATGGAAGAGCAAGAAGCAGACTATGATAGCAAGGAGCAGTGCAGAAGCAGAATATGGGGCCATGGCACACACTGCATGTGAACTAGTGTGGTTGAAAAATCTATTGCAAGAAATCGGGTTCTTAATAAGCAAAACCATGAAGCTATACTGTGACAACCAGGCTGCAATTCACATCTCATTCAATCCAGTGTTTCACGAGAAAACTAAGACATAGAGGTAGATTGCTACTTTGTAAGGGAAAAGGTCATCAATGGTGTGATAAGAGTAGAGCATGTGAGAACAGATGATCAATGGGCAGATCTATTCACAAAAGGGTTAAGTTCAGGAAGAGTGAGCTATACATGTAACAAGATGGGATTATATGATATATACTCTCCAGTTTGAGGGGTGGTGTTAGAGTTGAATAAACATGGGTAATTTAGTCTTTGTATGTCTCTTACATAGACAGGGGCATTTCTGTCTTTGTATGTCTGTTTACTAATTCAAAATGAATGGTCGACTGTGTAGGACTTTTGGACTACTCAGTTCGACATTGTTCTTCTCCATCCTCCTTCTTCTTCTTCTCTCCTCTCTCTCTCTCTTCTTTCTTCTCAATTCTGCTGAATATAAACAAGTATTATTGTATTTTACGTATATTTGTATTTGGGTGCCCAAGTAGGGGCATACTTGTAATATTTTTCAGCAAGATATATTTTTTAGTTTTGAGGGTGTGAACAATGACACACCACTCTTCTAAGACAAATCTCTTTCTTCTTCTTCCTCTTCTTCCTCTTCTTCCTCTTCTCTCCCTTCCCCCATCCCTATACTTCCTACTATATTAAGTTCTATCAAGGGCCGGCTGTCAAATCCAGACTCAGTTGTTTGGAGTTATAGGGATCTCATCAAAAAAGTTAAATGTTTAACAAGGCACATAACATGTAGATATCAGTGGGTGGGTAGGGTGGCAAATGCTTTGGCTGATCATCTTGCTAAACAGGGGTCTACTAGGGACCATTTATTCTGGGCAGCATTGTAATTTTATTTCTGATCTTTTGTAACGGCTAGGGGAGGCTGCATCTCGTGCCTCTCCAATGGATTCTTGTAAAATCTTGTTCCTATTATTTAATGAAATCGTTTTCAATTATCAAAAAAAAAAAAGTTCTATCAAGGGCAACTTGTTTTGAAGTACCTCACTAAAAATTTATTTATTTATGTTATTTAAGAACATATATTGAGTTTATTTTCCATCACTAGTTCACCTATTCACCAACCAGGTTTTGTCTGAGTCTAACACTAGTTGATACATTTAGACAAATCAACTTTGACAGGTATACATGATGTTTAGGGTTTAAATAGGTTAGCCTATGTAGAACTTGAACATACAAGGTTAAAACTTTGATGTTAGTAACACAATAGTCTACCTAGTTGAGCTCTAATAGGCTTTTCAAGTGTTCTATTCCTTTCAAAATTTAGATTTGTAAATACTTTTATATTAACTTTGAATTTTTCCAAAAGTGGTGTCTCACTTCATTCAAGCGTGAGCCTATCCTTACACCTTGTGCTTCAGTCTCTAGAAATACATTTTTAATCAATAAATGATAATTCTTTTATTAAAGATATAGGCTCTTGGACCTTTGCACTTTAGTTGTGTTTCTCGCTTTTAAAACATTGGACCAGTCTTAAGATTTTTTCTAGAGACATGTTCTATAAAGATCTGACAAGAAGCTTCTTGGTTAGATATTCCAGAAGAGTTTAACAGACAATGTATGCATGCTAGACATAGCTAAGAGAGAGGGAGATCTAATAAAGCCCATCCAAGCATTGCTTTTAGATGAAATCCAACATGAAAAATATGACCCAATGGGCAAGTGGAACATTACTTAAATATGCCTACTAGTGGAGGGAAAAGGCAGTTAAATTCAGAAATCCTCCCTTGAAGGATTATATGGTTAGTGCCAAAAGTTCAGCTGTTAGAATTAAGCCTTTGATGGAGTGGAAACCTCCTAAATAAGGTAATATTAAATTAAATTTTGATGGCAACAGCCTATGTAATCCAGGGCTTTGTGAAATTCGGGGAGTTTTCAGAAATGCTGAGGGCCAGATCTTAGCTTTATATTCTGGTCCAACAGCCTACGTAATCCAGGACTTTGTGAAATTCGGGGAGTTTTCAGAAATGCTGAGGGCCAGATCTTAGCTTTATATTCTGGTCCTATTCGTTGGGAGATTCAGTTAATTCAGAAGTCCAGGAAGTTCTAAAAGGAGTAGAGATTGCTAAGGAGATGGCAATGGAACACTTAATCAGTGAAGGCAACTCTAAACTAGTTTTTGGGTGGTTAAAGAGCCGAAGATGGCAGCATGGTCCTATAGAGGGGCTTTGAGAATGTTCAGATGGTTAACATCAAATACATCAGTCACAATTCAATGGGAAATAAGATCGATCAAATGGGTTGGCAGATTCTTTAGCCAAACAAGGGGTACATAGGAATCAGTTTTTTTTGGGCTCATTTGTAAGCTTTATGATATAGTTAAAGGTGGCATCTCGCACCTCTTTGTGGGGATTATGTAATATGTATCCTTTGTGCTTTATTAATAAAATAACCTTTATCTATAAAAAAGGATTATATGGTTAGAGCATTGGTGTACATAGTCGATGAATATGTAATTTCTTTTTCCCAGTATTGAAAACTTTACCCTTTCTAAAAAAAAAGGATGATATTGTCAGATCTTTCCTTCTAACTCTAAATGATCCATGTTATACTCTCCTAAATTCCTGAAAGATTCCAATGAGATTGCTAAGAGCGGCAACAGTAGAAGCAACAATGAGACATAGGAAACATACTAATTTGACTGGAAATTCATAAAATAGTGTCTGAAAGAGATTATCAAGTAGTATCAAGGATGCTCTCTTCATATGATGACACAAGGAACCGAATTCAGATTTCAATTGGATGTTGAATAGCATTAATGAATTAAACTAAAAATAATCACAATATTATATATTATTCATAAAATTAACTAAATATTACTTTGATAGTGTATAACATGAACAAAATATATTGAAAAAAAAGCCTTATAAAACTTGAACCGATGACTCTTCAGTAAAAGCACAACATTCAATTCAAACAGACTTTATTTTCAGTTAAAGCATGACTCCTAGCCAACTTTATTAATAGATAGAGTATAAATTTTTTTAAGTGTATATAAGCATATGCATTTAAATCGGATCAAATAGGATTATACTGGATCAGATAGGAGTAGATCTATATTGGATCCAATTATAGATGGATTGGATTCAAACAAACAAATACCATTTGCAGCCCTACTGTGGTAACTCTGGTTTTTTATGTGACGCAACACAAACAGCTGCAAAACTTCCCTTCCTCTTACTTATTAGTTTCCCTATCCCCCACCCCGGCTTTGAAATCAAATAACCAAGCTAAATGACTTCCATTGTTAAGCTGATAAAGTTGTTGGCAGCCAAGGTTTCAATAGTTCTTCAAGTATGAATAAGGTGTCTAAATCTATGTGGCCAAGATATGACAAGCATGCAAAAAATTGTTATGACAATATAAGTAAAATAACAAGAAGATATTTAAATCTAACCATATAAAGAAAACAATAGCAGATTAAGGTAGTCATGGTAGTAGGTTCTCCGTTCTCCAACAACTGACTCATAAATGACTTCATGGATTATGTATAACCTATTATCATATTACAAAGGAACAAATAAAAAACAAAATCAGAACTACTTGTTGGATTGTTAGACCATAAATGTAGGACATCTTAAATCAATTTTCCATCCAGAGACTGTCTACACAAAACATCCCATCTTATAGCAACATTGAAATAAACCAACAACGACTCCATGTTACAAGGAACATTTCAATAATCTAAACTGAATCTATTTACCACGATACTCAAAAAGAAAATTGCGATAATGACCAGACCAGAAAGAAACCTATAAACAAGTTAACTGGCGAGCATTCCCTTCAATTTCAAGGGAAAACGAGGAAAAAATAAAATAGGGAGAACTCGAGTATAATGGCAAAAGCTGAAATTTGCAATGTCGGTGATGAAAGTACGGAACTCACTTCTTGTGTTTCCGACCTCTCTTCGGTCCCCACGCTTCCAGCTTTGCGACGGGACACCCGCACTTAACCCGAAACAGCAGCACCGCCCGTCCATTGGGCGGGGCCATCTTCCTCAGCTCAGATCTCAGGCATTCGTAATCCGGATTGCCTTCCGATCCTCCTTTCCACGGTAGATTATCGATCTCCTTGGAGGAAGATTTCAAACACTCCTCCGTCTGCAACTGTATATCATACTCCCTGGCCTTCTTCAACCCCTTGCATCCCGGATTCTCGCATTTCCTCGACCTGTAGCTGCAGCAGATCTCAACGGCGATCAATGACAGAACGAAGAAAACCAAAAACCCTGCAATGTAAGGGAGCGGGGACTCTTGGAAGGAATCCGAATGAGAGACGGAGAGAGACGGGAGGATTTGAGAGAGGGATTGGAAGATGTACGAGAGGCATGAGGTGACGAGGAAGGCGCACGAAAAGAGAACAAGAATGAGGATGAGAATGTCAAGGGTTGCAGAGGGAGAGTGCTTGCAGGGGAGAGAATTAGGGTTTGAGGAGAGTCTCTTGGGCTTCTGAGAAGGCGAGGAGGAGGCGGGCATGGCGGTGATGGAGTAAAGATGACGGTGGAGCATGTTATGTTTGTTTGGTTTGGAGTCTTTGCGCCACTCGCTGCTCTAAAGACGAAGCGACGAGACGACGCAAGCGCAAGTTAAGGCCAGAGGGGAATAGAGAGAAGGATAATAAAGGTGGTGGTCACTGGTCGTCGTAAAATGCCCGGCACTGGTCGTCGTAAAATGCCCGGGTGCGTTGATCGCCAACTCTTTACACTTGGCGGCTGAAGTGGCACTCCGTGATAGCTCCACGTGTCATGCTGACCATTGTATGTGCCAAAGTACAGGGCAGAGATCGTTTCGCCACGTGGCAAGATAGTCACTTGTCCTTAGCTTTCTACCTCTACCTACCTTACATTATGATTTATGAAATGTGTGACACTGACGGTGGCGGACTGACGTCGGACAAGATAGTCACTTGTCCGTTTATTTGCAACTTCTCACTCACGCTTTTGTGAAATTACATTCTTCTCTGCCTTTCTTCTTATTCCGTGTTTGGGAGTATTTTGTCTAAGGAATATTTTGAAAAAAAGCACTTTTTTTTTTAATATTTGTCGCATCACCGACTTTTTTTTGTTAAAATAGGGAGTCCATCAGTCCGGATGTGCTGGATTGGCCTCGCTCATCCAGCCGCACTTTTTTTAAAATCGGTGATGTAAATACAACCGATGTTCCAGATGTGCGGCTGGATGAAAGTGACCAGCAATGTGGTCAACGGATCCAAACTCTAAAAAATAGCCTCTTGTAAGTGAAAAAAAGTTAAATTGAAGATATTTATGTTTTGAAACAGGCTTTGTCACCTGGCCAGCTAAGATTCAATGTCCGGTTTGATTAAAACACAAAATTTATTCAAAACCCGTTGATTTGGTAAAAAACATTTGACCCGAGTAGTTGAATCGTTAACCTGTTCGATCCGATTACTAAATCACGGATTCTTCACTAAATGCGAAATCCATAACTTGTATGTTCAATTAAAGTGATTTTTTTTTTAATTTAGATAATTTTCAATATATCTTTTTAGTTTTTAGCCTTACACAGTTACACTCACTCAATGCATGTGCAAACCCAACCTTAAATCCTTTGGTCTTGCGTCGGTAGTCTTGTTTTGTATTTCTACTTTTATCATGAAATTTGTTTGTTTCTACTTTTTATCATAAAATGTAGAGTGTTTTCCACGTGCTAGCATTTGCCTTGTTTCAAATCAAAGAGGAGAGAGAAGTAGGAAGAATTTGAATAGGGATAGGGAATTTGTTGGTTTCTTAAATGCATCCACCCTAGTAAGGACGGATTAGTGTTTGGCAATTTGATATGCCACATGGGTTGTCCTAAACACATGATGCATGAGATTACTTATCAGTTAGACCACATGGGATGATGTGATGTGATGTGAATGACGTTCCATTTGATTCCGCATAATAAGTCCAGATCTGTTTCTCACAAAGTGCGCTTTACACGATCTCACAGCATGTCCTAGTCATTCATCAAGAATATTTTCTGTATTTATATTTATTATTGATGAAAAAATATTCTCAATACAAGATTAAATGTGGCTGTGATATTGGTGTAGGCACGCTATGGGAGGAGGATATCCCAATTCTTACAAAATAGGATAAAAAATGGATGACTGGTGGGTATGGATAGCTCTTTCAGTCAATTCCTTTTGGATTGGGAGTTGGGACTTTGTTTTCAGTGTGAATGTGTGATGTTATTGAATTGAGGCAGTGTATAAATGAATGAAGGATAGTAGCTTCTTCATATGGAGATTATATTTAAGGATTAAAATATCTTATACTCCACCATGGGTATTGGTGGGCATTGATATGGACCGTTACTTTTTTTATTTTTTTGATATATTAACTTTATAATAATGAGATGGTCTAAGAAAAGATTTGAAACCCCTTAAACTTTTAAAAATATTTGTGTATCAGTGTATAGTGTATTCGTGTATTTGGGATACACCGATACCGATATATACTTTAATCCTTATTATATTATTTTAATAAGGATCATTTACTAATAAGCCACCTCCTAAGTTTTGTGAATTTATTAAAACCTAGGTTTAATTGATTTACTTAATCGATCTTCTGTTAGATAATTGTAGAAAATGGCATTTGATCATAATGTCCATTTCAATAAATTTAATCAAAAGAATAAAAAAATGAAAATATCATAGACATTGACAACTACTATATTTGATCCTATCGGATCAATTTTTTTTTCTATGTGAAGAAGTATTAGGGATACTTTTGGAATAAAAAATCATGGGCCCATGCCCTTTAATATTTTCCAATTAAGTAAATAAATTGCAAGTTATAGGAAGTATTTAGTAAATGACCCTTCCAAAGTTCCAATGAATCACCATTCTTGCACCCATAGAGTCATAATCCAATGGCTATATGCATATATTTAGACGATAGATTCAGTATATTTTTGAAATTACTAACTTGCCCTACAAAACTTTTCCATGCTACCCTTGGGATTGTTGTAAAGAGAACAAAGAATAATAAAGTAAGATTAAGGCCAATAAGATGAGAAAAAAAAAAGAAAAAGAAAAAGAAAAGAAAAGAAACAGTTTTACATGGTTCAGCATATCAAGTTTACATCAACAAACGGTCCATATTAAGTTTCACTAATTCCAATCAATCTTGCAACTTTAGCAAAAAGCTGGTTTATACTTTTGAACTAAAGGTTTAATGTTGCTGATGCCCTAATTCAATTTCAATTGACCAAAATACCATTCATGAACATTGTGAGTTGAAATCAGCCCCCCACAAGATAGTTTCCCACAATGTCACACAGCATATTTCTGTGAATTGAAATCAGCCCCCCACAAGATAGTTTCCCACAACGTCACACAGCATATTTCCGCTGTGTATTATTGGAAATATCTCCCAATGATACCTTATCATTTCTGGTACTTATCATCGGGAGATGTTTTCAATACACAGTGGAGATATGCTGTAGAATATTATGGGAAACTATCTTGTAGGAGGCTGATTTCAACTCGAACATTGTACATAGCGTTTGAGCCTTTTTTTTTCAACCATCTCAAGCTGCAATTTGGGCAGGCCCAACCTTGGGTGGGGCCTTTCAGGTTGCAGGTTAGGCTAGGTCAGAAAACTTGAGTATAATCAAAACTTGGGTTGGGTTGGGTTTGAGCTGAGGGCATTAAGTATTAAATAGCCCAATTCCGGTTAGATCCAACCCGAGTCTGTCTGAGCAAATACACATGTACATCCATTTTATTTACATAAAATATCCTCCATCTCTCTCTCTCTCTCTCTCTAACCCTCCCCCTTGGACACATCAGCAACACTCTATAATAAGTTTACAGAGTCTGGATCTCCTACCAACAAAAACTCAGTCCATGTCTACCCACGTAATATTGCAGCCACACATGGGGAACATTTCATCCTCTACATAGTATTGTGGATGAGGAGATGTTCCCAATGCATAAAGGTAGTGTGTTGTGGGTAGATGTATGCAAAGTTCTTATGGGCAGGAGATCCGGAGTCAAATTTACAACCTCTTTAAAATCTCTCTCTCTCTCTCTTTCACTCACTCACCTCACGTTAGAGGCCCTCTTTTCTCTCCTATACCCCTCTAAATTTTCTCCTTTTGGCTGCATTTAGCATTTCTTATTTTAAGGACTTCTCTCCTTTTTGCAGTTAAAATGCCTCCATGAACACTCAATTTTTAACTGCAAAACAGAAAATAAGTCCTCAAAATAAGGAATGCCAAATTCAGCCTTAATATTCTTCTCATGGTTTTCAAAACCAGACCAGATTGGACTGTCAGATCGAAAAAACCAGGAATCGATCCGTTTTACCCCAAAATCGTTATTTCGCCAAAAACTGTTGGTTTGGTCAGAAAATCGTTGACCCATGTGGTCAAACTATTCGAACTGCTTAACAGTTTTGGCCGTTTTTTTTTATTTTTTAATTTTTTGTCAGAACAAACCATCCATTCGATTCAAATGGTCAAACCGTTTGACCCGAGAACCAGACCCCTGACCGGTTCATTGCCCAATTCAGCTTTAAAAACCTAGATTCTTCTTTCTTTTCTCAAACCCTCATCTCTCTCTATCTCTCTCCCCCCGACATCTAATCCCATGTCACAAACAAGCCACTTTTGCTACGCTAAAACAAATATCAAAGGTGTGGATGCATCGTCATGGCCCTAGCTTGAATGATGTTCTAGCGGGGCCACAACAATACATCTAAGGCCATAAGGCCATGATTCTCAATTTTACGCCTACACTAAAACTATGTTGTAAAAAAGTGAACCCCATCCTAGGCCCTCTTTTACCTCTTGTACCTGCCCTAAATTTTGTCTTTTTTTTTTCTAATAAGTAACAACATGAAAGCCTTTAAAAAAATAGAAAATGATTAAATAATTCAAAATTGATTGAATAAATAATATGATAATTAGATAAGTAATAAAATGGTAAGATAATAAAAATAAATAAATGGATAAAAGGAATATAAATTGTTCAAACAATTAAAAACTGATTACTAAAATGATTTATATAACCTAACTAACTAAAATAATTAACTTAGCTTAGTAATAGGAGTGAAGATGAAAATAATAGGGGAATTACTTGCCAAAAAATAATAGGAATGAAAATGATTAAATCATTAAAAATTGATTTATAATTTAAAATTATCAATAACTAATACAATAATTAAATAAATAATAAAATGGTTAAAAAATAAAAATGGCAACCTATAATTAAATGGTAAATAGAGAAATTTCAAACATTTAATTGGGGCTAAGGGTGTAGGTGATATTAAGATTGATCTCAATCACAACAATCATCAAGATTAAAAGGGTTGCAGTCAAATCAAATCTCAACGGCAATGCGATTAGTTTCTTCATCAAGGATTTGGTTCTTGCCTTTAATATCAAACCCTCCAAGTTTAAGGTTGTTGAAAGAAGTATAGTTTGTGTAGATTTTGTTGGTGGTTGGAAGATCATCACCATTTGAATTAATAAATAATAGTAATTTATATATTAAAGTTACAATTAATTAGAATTGTTCATGGGCCAGGTAGCTTGATGGGCTTGCCCACTAGGTCCGGCTTTTGTAAATAAGCCCAACCCCTAATAATATCATATAATAAAAATATACATTAATAATATATAACAAATTTTGATTGGCTCTCAAATTTACATTTACTTCCTATTCAGATCAGCCTTTAGGCTTGGAATCAGGCTTTGAGCTTTGTACAAGGTTGGGCTTCAGCTTAGGCTTAGATATTTTCTATTGATAAGTGGTAAAGTCTGGCCCGATTTCGGCTTGTGAACAAGTCATAAAGTGTATTATTAAAAAATAGTTGCACTTAATTAACTTATAACATGGGAATTAAAATTACAATTACTTCCATCTAAATTGATTAAGTTAAAATAATTAAAATAGAAAAGTAATTACGTTGAAGTTAACTTAAACTCTAGTATTTACACTAACTTGACTTTTAAATTTAGTTAGAGTAAAAGTAATTATTAATAACTATTATAAATTAAATTATTTAATTATTGTTCATGTAAATATACGCATGAGATTGGGACTTTCACTATCACATGGTTATTCATGCCCAACATCTAGATGTAATTAATTTTAGTTTCTGCCAATAAAGCCATAAATCATCATTCAGATATTCATCTTCAGAATATCGACACAGGCCGATATGCCGTGTGTCGATACTTTTTTTTTTTTTTTTTTTTAAGTTTCATTTGTTTTTTGTTTTGAAACCAGTTCAGAGGGACCCGGCTACCCTCTGAACCTGTGGCTGACCCGATACAACCCCTGGAGGGGCGTATCGGTAAGTCATTGGCACGATACGGGCTGATAAATATCAATACTTTGAACATTGATTTTCCTAAATATGAAAAACACATGAACATTAGAGAGTTCCTTCTATTTCAGTTTTACATAACAAAACCTGCACACCGTCCAAGGCCCAGCTAGTATATTCATAAATTCTTTCAAACCTGACCAACCCGCCCAAGCTCAACTCTAGTCCAAGTGTGTGTTGGGTTGACCTCAAGTTGGGCCAGCCTTGAACCTAACACTTATCCAGGGCCTTGGGTTAACCTTTTCAATTTTGAACTCCATTCTCTGATTTAAAACATTATAAAAAGAAGTGACAGACATATCAACTTCTGAACAATTGTCATGACAATGAAGAAAACATCAAGATTGTAGTCCTGTTTTGAGGGGTTGAACTAAATGAATAAAATTCAGAGAAAGTTAAAGATGCAAGATAGCATCTGACCAATACTGCAAGTAAAGTTAGGGGTTCAACTTGGGCGGGCTCGGGTTGATTTTGTCAAAACCTGCAGAGAGTGAAAGCTAACCATAGATTGTGATAATGACATTTGGAATAAAAAAACGTAGGGATAATAAGCAAAACCCACAAAAACAATCTTCACAGCCCATCCATTGTGGTGACATGAATTTAATCCCTCATTCTGGTCCTTAAGTTAATCATCATGGAAATATTGCAGAAAAATAATTAAGAAATTTACCAAACTGACATAAAGGATCACATTTGTTTGAAGCCACTTCTTTCAGGGAATGTGAGAAAAAGTATTTATCCCTGCAAACAGAAAACAAAAATAAGATTCTCTTCATTAACCAATTGGACACTGTCCGCAATCAATCCAATATTACTACACCAGTGTCGAGGAAGTCTTAATCAAGAATTCTCTTTAATCGATAAAAAACAGTCAGAATTTAAGCACAATGATATACACTGGCATGGCTGCTTGATCAAACCCATTGGCATTTTCTTTTCTTATGCTCTTTTTAATGACCTTTTGTTTTGAGAAACAACAAAGAAAAAATTTGTTGACATAAATAAGGGATTTTAACAAGGGCTACGGAATCTTTAATACTGGAAGAGCATTGGAACTCACATACAAGATACAACCTACTTCATTGTAATTCTATACTGCTTATATATTTATATTAATTTCAACCAACTAGACTCCGAGCTTCAAATAGAGCACAACTGTGAGCCTTCATTTCATAAGCTATCAATCCTTGCATCTGCTCAAGAACAGGGTCACCATCATTTGAGAAAAATCCTGGAAATGGAAGGGCTGTGTCCACCAAACGAAGCCACACCATCCCTTCTGAAGGTGAAGGCAGAATAACACCCTCTGAATGTCCTCCAGCATTGAAGGCAATAAACAAGTCACCCCTGATTTGAGAAGAATCTGAGTCAGACTGGCTGTTATCTATGTCTGACTTCAATCTCAGGGCCAGGAATTTGCTTGATGGGTCTTCCCATCTTGGCTGAGACTGGTTGCTTCCATACCACTCTATATTTTCTACCTTCAGGAAGTTCCTCTTTTGAAGGAGATCACTTCTCCTTGTTCTAAGTGAACTAAGAAAAGCAATAAACTCCGTTGTTTGAATAGCAAAACCTGTCCTTAGAGCAGTCCAATCAAAAGGCTTCCTGTCACCATATGAAGTAGAGCCACTGGAAGATTGACCACACTCGTCACCCATATTAAGAATAGGAACACCAAATGAGATGTACAAAATGAAGAGAAAATTGCGGATCTGTTTTAGACGTCTTTCAAGGACAACAGTATTATTTGTTGCACCTTCTTCGCCACAGTTCCAACTCAACTCTGAAGAAACTTCATTGCCACTGAAGCTGACCAAGTCCACGAGAGGAAGTCCAAAGTTCCTTGCAATAAAATTAAAAGAGAATGCAGGTCCCCGTCCATCCAAAAAGATGTCTCCACTCCCACACAGTCGAGTTGCTAGGTCACTAAGGAGACCCTCACCCCTCAAAAATTTTCTTATATCATGACAAAATCTATTATTAACTTCTGCCCATCTCTTCCAATGAGGGAAACGGATGTCCCTTGTTACCATTTCACATGGGTCCCAGCAGTCTGCTATAATCTTTGTCTTAGAGAGTAGTGGATCAAAAGCAATGGCCTCAACCAAAGGAGGCCGAGATAAGTACTCACCATTTAGCCCTCTCAAAAGAGAAGAAGCATTCATAAAGCAGAATCCATCTATGTGAAATTCTGTAACCCAATACTGAAGGATATCCAGAATCATCCGTTGGACAATAGGATTGTTGCAGTTCAAAGCATTTCTGGTACCCAATTGTGTGTCTCCATTAAGTATATAATAAGAAGAATTATCAATTCCTCGGAATGATATTGTTTGAAAAGAAGAATCACCACCTTCTGCAGCATGAGTGAAAACAACTTCAAGTAAAACCTCTATGCCATTGGCATGCAGTCTTTTTATCATCTCCTTCATAGAATTAATGGTAGATACATTATCATAGGAGGGCCCATATAAGTCTGATGCTGAAAAGAAATGGTATGGAAAATAGGGCCCGTTTTGCTCACCAAAGGAGAACACTGGCTCTAATAAGACTGCATTCACACCGAGACTTTTAAAGTGGTGTAATTTCTCAATCAGACCAGAAAAGGTGCCTAAAACATCAGCAGGTAACTGGCAGGACTTGTCCTCAGTGAAACGTCTCACATTTAACCGATAAACCACTAGTTCTTCTATTTCCAAGCAAGGGCGGATATCACCACTCCAATCAAAAGTTGGTATCTTGCATAAGTGTCCAAGACGTTTCGGAGGTGAATGGGTCTCTGAATGATTTGGAAGTGAGCTTGAAAGAATCTTAGCATATGGGTCTAAAAGAACATTGCGGGCATCAAATCTATCTCCTTTTTTCAAATGAATATCTCCTTTGCATCGATAACCATAGCTGACATATGGAGCCACACTTTCCATTGAGACATGCCAAATATTGCCTGTTCGATTAATGTATGGATCTAAATCAATCTCTAGGGAAGGTTGGTCTGACTTCTCATCATACAAACAAAGAACTACACTTTCAGCATTCCTAGAAAACAGAGAAAAATTCACTGATCCATCATCAGAGAAGGAGATACCCAACGGTGCAGGGTGCCCTGAACTGATACCAACAGGCACACAAAAGTTTGTTTTCCTATGACTTCTTATCTCTGAATTATTGGTAGCAGTATTAGATGAAAAAAGGAGCATGAATGATAGATAGAAAGGGGCTTGATTTGATTCGAATTCAAGCTGTAGGAAATGTCTGCCTGAAGATTTCTGCATGAGAGGGGTTTCCATGGTACTGGAATGGGTTTCTGGAGCTGAAACTTGGGAGCCTGGAAGCGTCAAACATGATGAATCAGATCTGAAAATGCCCCAGTTCAGGAACAACTTATCCTCAGTATTACACTGTGGTAAGGATGAAACTTCAATACACACTGTATAATTTGTATTCTTCCTTCCAACAGTTATCTTTACCTGACCACCAATTTCTGTTCTAAATAAATAAGTCAATGGCTTCTCTACTTCCTCAGTCTTGGTAAATGTACCCAAACTTGGTCGGGTTTGATCAACAGAACTTGGTGATGAAGCAAAGATTTTGAGATTATGATACCACTGAGCATTTTTGGTTATATCTCTCAAGCAGCCATGGCTTTGGCTTCTTCCCATGTCAATTCTCCTCACCCTGTGAATGCATTTATTTGGCGCATAATAACTGGTGGCAGTTGCCAACTTTGCCATTTTGATGGATCCACCATATAAACAGTGTGGTTCTATTGTAAGCGACAGTGGAGTTGCCATTGATCTTCAGAAGGGAAAGCAAGACAAATTCAAAGTAGGATAACACTATTGCAAGCTATGAGGTTTGCCTACTGAAATTGCTGACTTATTCTGTGAGAGACAAGGAGAAACATTTAACTGAATGAGAACCTCTAAAACAATAAAGCAGAACTGATTCTTAGACTCAGTTTGGAAGAAGTACAAATACAAATATGTACAGTACAAATACATATAAAATATAAGGTTTTGTACTCCTTCCAAACTGAGCCTTTATAGCAAAATAAGACAGGACATTGAGCATCGGTCTAGGATGCTAACGGAATTCAAATAAACCTTAATAACATTTGAGAAAGAAGCCCAAACAAGGTCTGATGCATATAAGCAAATTAATACAACAATTCATAGAAAACATTATCGTCTTCACATGAAAGACAGAAACTAAGACGAAGTAAGCGGAAACTATAAACCGTTATAGTTGAATGAGAAAAAAACTGTATAATCCAACTTAATGGATCTCTATTCCACACGAATACCTCCAATTTAATTTGAGGCATTGCCATTTAATAGAAAAACACCCAGTATGAGAAGTTGAGAACAAACAAATGCGTAAGAAAATTCATATATTTAATTTTCACCGAAGCTCCAAGAAATGAACGGCTTAAAGGAACAAGAGTACGAGATCAAACCAGAAGCAAAATCAACCAAGAAAATGTTATTTGTTTTATGAAAAATCCAAGGCATTTATTACAACAACAGGGCCTCAACCATTAAAATCTTGAAACAAAGCAAACGAAAGAAAAACCTATTCAGAAGGGAACAAACCAACAAATTACATAAAAATTCGTATACGAAATCCCCATTACAACAAAACCCATTTGAAAAAGAAATGAAAAACTCAGAGAGATATAAGCTTCAACTTTGATTGGCTTTCTCTCCAAGGCAAAGAGATACCAAAGAATTTAAAAGGAAAAACAATGTGTCCTCTTTTCCTCGCAAAATCTCAATCATCAGCTAATTTAAGCCGACATGCGCAGAAAGCAGCAAAACAAGACCCAAGCAAGAAATGCGAAGAATCAAAACTTACATGGGATCTCCTCCATGACCGGAGCTGCAACCTCCCTGAGAATCCATGAGACGATAAGGGAAGCACCAAACAAGCCACAGTAAGCAATCCTGGCCGAGCGTCCGGAGATCCCAGAAGCCACAGCACTGCATAGACCGGAAGTACAAGACGCACAGCACGACAATAACCACGACATCCTCTCTCTCTCTCTCTCTCTGCGTCTGGACCGCACAGCCGAATTGGTTGAGAGATGAGGGTGGCAAGAGGGGGCCGCCACGCCTAGACGTCAAGCCGACAAAGGTCTGATGTGCCTAGCGTTGTCTGTTACCAGCAGATTCGGCGGGAACAGTTTTACTTTTTTTTTTTTCAATTTATATATTTGGAAAAATCTATGATATGAAATAGATACGGTATAAAAAGAGTTTTGACCAATCAAAACCCACTCATCAATTTTGATAAATCACACCATGTTCCTGACCACGTTTAAGATTCTGTGTTATTGGGTGATTGATCTCAGATTTTCATGCATGAATGCACTCATGAAAGCATATCTTACACGTGGTATTAGAATACAGAAAAATTCAAAATATCTGATGGGTCCTACTAAAAAGAAACATCAACGACCAACGGTGCTCGATATTGACTCCCTACCCTATCGACGTTCTCTGCCCCTGAAGAGGCGAAAGATGACATCTACGGCCAAAAACGTCAAACAGTGCATGCGGGCCCCGCCTAGAAAAATCTGGATGAAGAAACAAGCTGATCCAATGCCTGCGGGTCCTACCAAAAGAACATCTGACCGAAGCCGAACGCTTAGGCTGTGTTTGGTTTGAAGGGAAAGGAAGGAAAACCTTTCCTTCAAACCAAACATCGCCTTAATTCTCTAGGTGGGTAAATGCAAAAGTTAGGTCGGTTTTATGGTCATTTGCACCCATAGTTGTTTGGTTGGAAGAAAGCAATCTGAGAATGCAAATTTATTGATGTTTGGGAGTTTTTTTCATTGCAAATTCAGAGAATGGGTCCCACCATCATGCCACGGCTTTTTTAAACCGTTCCCCCCTGTAACATGGCAACTTGTTCCATCACATTCATTTGGGTGGTGGGGTGGAGGTCTCCATGAGCCATGAGCATTGCATAGAGTGAATCAAAACACCTACGTCTCATCCTAATTTGTGTAAGACATGACTCATCACTATGGAATATGCTTCTCATAAAACCGCCCTGTCAGATTATGGGATTCTCAACTAGGGTAAGGTATGCCATGCAGATAACTACAATGATGTAAGAACACATGGTGGCAATGGCTCCAACAACCTGCCTACGCCTTTGAATGGTATTTGGTGGCCTCATGCCTAATGGAAAATAACACAAATATATAGAAACTGTGCCCCACAAATAGTTAAGGTTGTAGTATAAGCATGAAGTAAAATAACACAAATATATAGGTTGAATGAGGCAAAGTCCCTAGAAAAATATTAGGTGATGCCACTAATTATAATTAGAAGATAACAAGGGTAGAACAAATCATTTCCAATCCAAGCTATTCATTTAACATTATGTATTAAAGGGAGTTATCCATTGAAAAATCATCAAGTTCTTAGGTTCCTTAAGTGGGCCCATCATATGGTTGTTATTCCCCAGTTTGGACTTCTATATACCCTCATTTATAGATGATATTTTGATAAAAATATGGGGTTTCAAAGATTTTACTACCTGTTCAATTTTCTCATCTGTAGGAGGGACCATCAATTCATTTGCATCCTCATCTGAGGTTTTTTTGAAAATCAAATCCTGAAACTCTGGGAGTTGGCTATGTTCACTATTCCCCACCTCTTCAGCCTGAGTTTTAAAAGCCTCGGCAACTTCTTCTAGAGACATTAAGTCATCCTCAGATTTTTCTATAAATTCCAACGCATTTCTTCTTCTGTTACAAATTGATTTTACTCTCCCTAAGGACTCTTCCCTTTTCAACCATTTTCTATATTCCCTCATTAGGAAGTCTTTCATGCGTTGGCCATCTGGACTATCCACTCCTTCCAACTCAGCTAATTGTACCTCTCTATTTCTCTGAGCTTAGTCTCAACCCTCCCATATCTACTAGTATTCCATTCCTTTAAAGCATATTTGCATCTTCTCAATTTGCTTTGTATTTGCGGAGAAGCCCCCCCATTGATTCTCAATTATTTTTTTACAGTCTTCTTCCTCAGCCCATATTGGAAGAAAATGGAATTGCTTTGTTTCAAATGTTAACAAAGCATGATCCGAAAGGACAGTTCTCAAAGAGGTAATCTTGGCTAGAGGATGAGATGCCAGCCAGTGAATAGTGGCTAAACCCCGGTCTAGTTTCTCTATTACATTCTTAATTCCTCCCTTTTTGTTGGACCATGTAAACTTGCATCCCACCATTTCCACTTCTACAAGAGAGTGGTTATCAATAAGGGAGAGATTTTCTTGCAAGCCCTACTTGCTGCAAAATATTCACTCGCGTGTATAATCTCATTAAATCCCCAAGTAAGACCCACCTTTGGATATTTGTCATTTTGCTATTTAATTCATTCCAATATTTGGGCCTTTCTCTTTTCTCCGGGTGACCATAGGCTAAGCAAAGATACCATTGCTGGCATTTTTGAGATGGGTTGATTTGTAAGATAATCCATCTGTCAGTTATTTCTTGTAGGATAATTGAGAGATCAGCTTTCCAATTGCTGGTCCATATTCTTTCATTTTCTGTGGTAAGATAAGGGCAATTTATCTTTTTATTTGTAATGGGGGTTAAGTTATCTTCTGGACCTCCTGTTTTCGAGCCCATCATACCCACCAGCGGTCTCACCTTCTTTTTCATCTATAGGCACATAATCCTCCCTTGATCTCCAGGTGTTTGAAACTTCCCCCGCATGGGGGCCATGTGTCATTTCACTTTTTGTTGTCTTTTCTTTACACTGTTTCCCATCATGGCGAGTTGACTTGTTCTTGCCCGACGATTCCCCTTGCATCCTTCTTTGTGACCAGCTTCTTGACGTTCCTGTTCATCAATGCCGATCGGTCCTCTAGACATCTTCTTTTCTCAGCAGATCCTTCATCTTCCGAGTCCTCGTCTGACCCCATTTCACTCATTCTTATTAATTGAACTTTGCATCCTTCTCCTTGTACTCCATATATCGGTAATCAGCTCTAAGCCATTCACCCGGGAGGTCAATTTCTCTCTGCTCCAATTCCATTTTAACTAGTTCTAGTGACTGGTTCAACCTTTTACATCTTTGCCAGCGATGTCCCAGCAATCCACAATAAGTGCATAGCTTCGTGAGAGACTCGTAGCAAAACCGGATCCACTTCTTTTCCCCCCTCTACAGTAACAAATAAGCCTGTGGTCAGAGACTGTCGGATGTCCAGTATAACTTGAACTCGTGTAAATTCCTCTACCCCCGTTTGTATCTTCGGTTGATCATTTACTATATCTCCTGCCATTAGCCCAATAGCTTTAACTCTTGAATCCTCCACAATGCCACGAGGAATATAATGGAGTTGTAGCCATACTTTTTGGAGGTGAAGCTTCTCAACCGTACCATCACCACTATCTGTCCAAGGACCTACCATCAGCCAACTCGATGGCCCTCCATTTATCACCTTTTCTCTCTCCTGTATATCATCAAAGAAGATCTCTTGTTGGCTGCCTTTAACAAAATTTATACAGACCTGATGCTGTAGGTTCCAGATGGTCCTACCATGCTTTTCAATCGCCTCTCTTGAAGTTTGAAGTCAAGGAAAGATTCTCCCCTTCAGTCAGTAGGTGTTGAATAAAGGCTTTTGCTTCCCTACAGGTTTCCATTTCTATCTCTACATGTGATCCTTTGACCACCGCTTTCCCTGCCATGAGCTTAGCCATCTGAAGGCTCAGAATCTGCTCCTCTTCGGATTGTACCTTTTCTTTTCCTTTCCTTTGTTATTCTCCATCTGATGAGAATATTTGGCAGCACAATGCTTTTCCAGATTATCCAAGTCCTATGGACACCTTTGAAGAATCTCTCAACAGGGGTACCAAGTACAGAAAGAGACACGGGCACTCACGAGGATGCTCACTGTGGCTTCAGCATGGCAAGAGTGTAGTGATAAAGTAGGTTACCATATCACTATGAAACAGGAAACTTTTAGAGAAGAAAAAATAATAATAGTTAGAGGCAAGGAGGCCAGTAGAGTAACCGCATGCAAACTGATGTGAAACAGGAAACTTTTAGAAAAGAAGAAATAATAATAGTTAAAGGCAAGGAGGCCAGTAGAGTAAATGCATGCAAAGCTGAGAGAGAAAACTAAGCGACGTGAACACAGGAAACTAAAACGTGCATGCAGCTTTACCCCAGAGGAAACAGCCACAAGATAATTATGATAAGAGAGAAAATTTTTGATAACAAGCTCATGGCTGAATTACAAAAAACACAAGTAATGGAGATCAAACCATTAGCAGAACTCTTTTGTTCATTCTGGGTCCCAATCGGTCGAGGAGGCCAGACTGGTTGCCAGCCATTTTTTCAACGAAAATGGTGTATGATATTTTGTGTACATTGGTTCATAGTAAAGAAAAGTTTATCAATACCAATATATTTTTTAATATAATTCTCAATACAGACCTTAAAAATTGATTTCCTTCACGTTTTATCCAAAATGAATTTCTTCGAAAATGGCATGAATCAATAGATGTTACTAATACAAGTAGTGTAGATATCAATATACTTTTTAATATAATTATTGCAGTTTCAGATGTAAGATTTCAAAACAAACAAACAGACCCTAAAAATTGATTTCCTTCACGTTTTATCCAAAACGAATTTTTTCGAAAATGGCATGAATCAATAGATGTTACTACTACACTGTATTCTGTGAGTAGGGAAGTGGGAACCGTTTGTGGGTAATAGATCCAGAGCACTATTCCAAAATGAAAACGATTTTATGTTAGGGCACCATTTTCATTTGAGTGTCATTGAAAAGAAAATTGTTTATATGTTGTCAATAGACTCCAAAAATCCCGATATGGTTAACCGGGTTTGGATATTAAAACATGCATCAGTTAAGTAATTGGATCATATTAGCATATATTTGACCATCTCATCCAATAAAAAATTAGATCTGATTATATACAATATAATAATGTGTATGTATTATGCTTTTATATTTATATACATTTCTATTTTTATGTATGTATAAGTAAAAAATAGTTTGACATTTAAATTTTTTTTTTCTTGATAACAGAATGGAACCGGATTAAATCGAAATCCAATTCA